CTTTAGTCTCTTATTTTGGAAAATATTGCATCCACAAATCTAAAAGTTAAGTTATCAATTACTTTTGAGTTATAAACTTTTAGATCCTTCCTACAAAGTTTATATATAGACATAATGATAATCCCTACTTAAAAGATATTAAAGCAAGACTGCTGAAATTCCAGCGATTTTTGTCCCATGGTTACCCGCATGATAAATCACTTACAGAGGCACAAAGGACAAAAGATCGCAAGTTCACTTCTACCTTCTTCCCCAGTTTATTGCTGTTCTTATTTAGGCATCAGAAGGCAGACTGACATCACATCTCCTTTCTAACTGAGGTCTGAAAGGTTGTCAGTCATCACTGCTGCCAGAAGGAGACATAAAAACCGAGTTTTATTATCTCAGTTTTTTCTTTTTGATAACAGAATTGACGTATCTTCATTTGTGACCATACTTAAGAGTTGCTTTGAGTCAGATCCTCGGGAGCAGCCTGTTTTAGACGCGAACATCTCATACTCTGCCTTCATATCCTCAAATAAGACTATCCTATGTGTATCTTCAAAAAGTCATTATGTCTCCAGAGCTACTGTGCCACCTCAGCAATTTTGAGTATAGGGAGTATTTATTGAACTACAGACTGCTTTTTTTTTTTTTCATAAATTTTAAAAAAAATCCCCAATTTTCAAAATCTTAATTTCAAAAAAATCTTAACTTCGTAGAAAAATAGACACTCACGTAGTACTGAATATGAACTTCAAAAATCATAATCACTCAAACCCCAGTATCAACCTGGCATTTTTCTCCTTGAGAAAAGTACTTCATGTTCCATATTAGATCAAATCACTGATATCCAGTTTGCACAAATATTTTCTAAAGGCCAGGATAAAACTTTGATAGTATGCCTAAATATGTATAGTACAGATGCAATATTAGAAGGTGAAGTGAAGGCAGAGATTGGAGGTGGAGAAAAATGCAACATAAAGATTTAAAAATAGCTTTGCTGACATTTTGGCTTTCAAATGTTTGAATGGATATGTTTCTTTGAAGGCATCATGTCCATTAAGAAAAGTGTTCCAGTCTTAAATGTATGTGACTGAGGGGGAGATCACCAAGCATGTTAGATGAGGAAGGGGGAAAAAAAAGGATAAGAGATTGATTTCTTAAACCCATGTATTAAGTTAAAGAAGAAGCTAGGAATAAAGCTGAGTAGACTGCTCATCATCTTTCAGGCCTCAACTTTGTTCCCAATCCAGAATCTTGTTTCAGTCAGTTAATTTGAATTAAATTGGGAAAATATTGCAGTGAAACTACTCTCAATGAGTCTTTGAGAATTTTCTGCCCTATATTTTTTATGGGAAACTCCCATTTTATTTGGTTACATCCTCTGAAAAGGGTTTGCAAGCTTCTGACTGGATCACATAGAAACTGTTTCCCCCAAGTGCCTATCCTCCTCCCTCCCCCAATCTGACTTTTTGCCAGCAGTCTTAATAACATAACCATTGTTTAAAAATGCTCATAAGGAAACAATCTGTCCTAAAAGCTTTGACCTAGGTCAGAAAATTCCTTCTTTCATAATGGAACATTCTTAAAGCATACTCTAGATGCTCATTTCTTTACTTTTTTAAAAATCACATGCTACCTGGAGAAACTTCCAGCAGTCACAAAGGGTTACAAACTAATTTTCTAATATTTTCAGCATTCTACAGTACTACCTAATGGTCTTTTTTTTTTTTTTTTATTCATACAATAGCTCAGAAGTTAAGCTTTGAGTTTGAGACAATTATTTTGGGGCAGAGTGCACTGAAAAAATCCGAGAAGCGCTTAGAGCATTGTGTTTTTAGTAAGATATTTGGGCTATGTCTTGCCAGTAGTGATATGAAAAGCAACATTCACAGGAATGACTGAGCACTGATTGGACAGATGAGTACAAGAAGCACAGCATATAAATGATTTTCTGAAGGGAACAGAAGGAAGAGGACAGTTAAAAAGGAAAAGCCACTTGAGTCATTGTAAAATAAACAGACATATTCTAATTCCCCCTGGAAATTAGCATAAGTTTTTTCAATCTTCTGCTTTTTTAGTAGTAGATTGGATACAGTACGGCAGTGCATACTGTAGTGAATGAGCTTTCTTGGGTGGAAAGCCACTGTGTTTAGGACTTTTGTGATTATTGTTATCATGTGTTAAAATTACCCAAAATCCGCATGTGTGTAATAACTGCAGACACATTTGTGGACAGGTCATGCTAAAGATACTTCAGTAAGAAGAACTGATCTGGGCTGAAGCTAAAAATTCTTCATTACATTTAACCCTGATTCATATATCAAGTATAATTGACTTTTTTGTGGGGGATACAATAGGTAAGTGTTTGAGCTCTTGAATACAGATGCTTTCTTACAAACAAACTAAACTAGCTAGTGTTTTCAGATGTTTTAATGTGCATCCTCAATATTATTAAAACCAGAATTAGAGTGAGATAAGACAGAGCAAAATATTATTTCCAAAATCCTCAAAGTTGGTGTTTGTGATACGGTTTCTTTCTTCTGCAAATACCCTTCTCTTGAGAGTTTGTAACACAAGCATTTTTTTTTTTATTTCCAGAATTTATCCTACTCTCCCTGCTGTTTACAGCGACCTGCCAAGGACTCTTTAAAACTCCTCACATATACCTTTTCCTGCATGCTCCTTTTTCTTAGTTCTTGCTGTTTAGCTGCTCTAACATCATCTCCCCCAGAGCACCGTGAGCTGCTCTAGCCTGCTGAGCCTGGCACTTCACTGGGCCTCATGCTGAAGCTCCAGCTTCTGTCTTCGCCAGGTATTTCAGAAATACTGGAAACATCTTTGTTAAATAAAAGCCTTACCCCCAATTGGAGCCTGAAGCATAGCAGATGCATGCCAGGAGACAAGAGTGGATATAAGGTACCAAGTGATGTGCAAAACTATTTGAAACTTAGACATGTGGCAACGCATACAAGCTCAATTCTAGCACCAAGCAGTTGGGATGTTACTAAATTTTCTAGTCGAGAAGCTTGCATTGTTCTGGAGGTAGTAAATCGTCTCTTGCTAGTCTGACAAACAGCAAGTGTGTCTTCCTGGGCTTTCATCTTGCGGAGCATGTGAAGGGGTGCCAGAAGCTCCTCTTCTCTTCAGAGAGCTGAGGTTCTGTACCTATCCTGGTACATACAGCATTTCTGCTTCGATAGTCCTCGGGGTGGGCGAGTGGAGCAGCACCACGCAGAGGGGTTGTGCAGCTTGAGCGCGTCCCTGGAGCGGGCGGCGTTACTTCTGCCTCGAGCTTGGTGGAAATGATGGTGGAGGCAGAACGGGGCTGAGTGACGGGGCTGTCCTTGGCGTGTGTCCTGGTGGTGCAGCACAGGGTACAAGGGTTATTTTGTGGCTGGCATAACAAAGTCAGCGGCCGAGAATGGCATG